CGCTCTGCTCCGGAAATCCGGGTTACTTCCCCCCAAAGGACGTAAAAAAAAAAAAAGAAAATGCAAACACCATGAAAGTCGGAGCCTAGCCCTCCTTCGTCTCACTTAAGATACCATTAGATAAATTATTCAGGCAGGGAATCTTCATTGTAAATATCCGGGAAGAGACAGGAGAAGGGATGTCTCGAAACGTGTCATCCTCCGATCTCATTTGGAAGATCCCCCCAGGGGGGGAAGGGGGGGGGGTCGCGACATACGTTAACGCACAGAGATGCGGATTAACGACGGAAACGAGACAACGGGGGTTGGCGCCCCGTTATGGAGGCGAAACGCATTAATTTGCATTTTGCGCGGCCGCTCTAACGACGCCATATTAAACGTCCCGGTAATCTCCCGGGGGGTGGGGGGGTGTCGCGGAATAATAAGGCCGAGTCCCAGGAGGGGGGNGGTGGGGAAGGGGGTAAGTGCGTGATCGCGGGACAATGGAGGATTGTCGGCTTCCCCTGCCTTTTCTCGATTTTTATCTCCGACTCGAGTGATCGCGCTAATTAACGTCCGCATTTTATCCCACCCCCTACCCCAACCCCCCGGGCGGGAATTATTATCCGCCCCCTCCCCATTTGTTCCACTGAGGGGGGCGATGGAAAGTGCGTGCCCGAGGGTTCGATCGAGCACTTCGACGGAATCGACGGGGTTTTTAGAATTACTAATTAGCGGGCGGAAAGTGGATTTTCTTGAGAAACCTGGAAATTAGGAACGGGGTGGTCCCCCCCCCCGCCCCCCAGTCTCAGATCTCACTTGAAAGGGTCTCCCTAATTAACACCTGGATTTACTTATTTCTCGGAGTACTCTCCTGGGTCGGAAGGGTGGAATTAAAATTCTCGGGAAATCGGGGAAAATTAGGGGGGGGGAGGGGTGTGTCATCGAAGTAGGAAAATGCGAGTTCACCGAAACTCGAAAAATCACATCGGGGGGAGGAGGGGCAAACCACCCAGAAGAATCGTGGAGGTGCAGGAACGGTCGAGAAAAATCGGAAAACCGGGGAGAAAAACGAAAGGGATCGAAACAAGGGAGGATTTAACCCCTTCGCCCCCCTCCCCCCCCGCCCCATCAATTTTCTACCTCGCTTTGGACGATCGCGCACTAATTAACGTCGATCTTTTGTTTCTCCCGAGGGTGAAAAAGAGTCAGAGGCCCCGGAAACCTCGGATGCGAGGAATATTCCCTAGGGAACTCACTCCCCCCCCCAGTCCCCCTCCTCCCTACCACTTTCGTTCTGAAATCGAATTCCTGCCAGCTTCCGGAGTATCGTTCTCGTTTAAGTGGATACTAACTACCCCCGATTCTTCCTGGGGGGGTTGGGTGGAAGACGGGTTAGGGGGGCGAGGGGGTGGTAATGTCGTTGAAAAATTTAACCCCATGGGAAAAGCGCGCATTCCATCCTGGAAAAATTGCACCGGACGTTGTTCGGGAGTTCCCGAGGGATGGCTCCACCCCTTTCGCTGCGTTTCCGGGAATAATAATCATTTCCACCCACGGAAATATTAGCTTTTGCATAAATTAATTAGCTAACAGATCGATACATATTATGTTCGATTGCATTTGCACCATATTTATTGAAGGGAATTCATACGCGCCGATATTTTGCATAAATATTTTAGTTTGTGTGAGGTTTCCTCCAGGTTGCCCCCGGATACGGGGGGGTGAATTCACCCGTTCACATGGAACACACCCCCGCATTGCAAAGCCACTGTACTTTTAACACCGTCATTTCCCGCGACTCACGACTGCGCTGTAAACATCGTATATTATCGCCTACATACGTAAGCACGGCGTCACATAAACTTGTGTGTGTATGTACAGAGTGCACGGGCAAATGTGGGGTACGGTAACGTCCCGGTCGCCTATGTACCGTCTTCCTATTCTGGGAGGGAGTTGCGGTAATTTACGTTTTACGTTGTCGCACCTAGAGCTCGCGGCAAGTCGCGATTCCGCTTTAAAACCCCCCGCGGTGAAGAAAACGGGGAAAACCAAGGCGAGAAGCCCTTAGCGACTTTTCGAAATAACCAGTCGTTCCTGAGTTATCGGTCACTGAAACTGGCGAATCAGGTGCGAGCTCCGGAAGGCGTGGCGAGCGGTGGGCGTGGCGCGTCGCCGAAAGCCACGCCCACCGTCGGCGGCCGATCACTTCCGATCCTCGATAACTCGAAAACGGGTGGTCGGATCGAAAAACTGCTCAGGACTTTCCCCCTGTCTTTTTCACTGCTCTATCGAATGGCGCGGGTCGGAACGCTGTCCGGCGGGTATTTCATAATTGTAAGTAACCAGTCGCGGCCTCCATTTTCAGGGAGCGGCCCCGTAATTTACGTTTTACAGCGCACATGCACCAGGCGGCCGGCTAGCCGTAATCTAATCAGGAATGTCCCGCTTCACGACGGCCTGCGCGCACACGCGTGGGCGCACACGCGAGAGTTTTCATAGCTGGAATTTTATGCGGGTCTTCTCTTTCATCCCGGAACCTTGTTCACCTACCGTTATGCCACTCTCGTCGCGGCCCGGAACGACGGGTCTCTTCGCGGGGCAAATAAAACTCGTTTCCGTGTTTCGCCGAGCTACAACCCCCATTTCAAGCCCCGGAAAGACGCGACCAGGGAGAGAAAAAATGTCTCGGGGAACGGAATGCCGGAGGGAAAAATGGCTACATCCACAAAACCCCCCCGGTGACCTGCAGCCGATGCCGACGTCCACCAAGGGTGCCACTTTTTACTTCTAACGGCCTTATCCATTGAAATTAAGTAAAAAATACAGGTTAAGGGTCCATCTCCCATTTTTTTGTCCAGGAATTTTCCACAGACCGAGTCGCCATTTGTTTTCAATTCGAATCTCGCGGTCGATTCCAGGCAAAATGGCGCGCGTCGCGGGGAAAATTAGCGCAATATGTGGACCGCACGTCAACCCGGAGTGGCGCAATGATTGGCGTGATTTCGATTGGACGGCAGGTAATTGTTATTGCCCTACGAAATCAATTAATCAATTAATCAATTGATTAAACACGGCCTGTACTCGGAGGCGGTTCGGCCGGTCGTTGCGGCGTTAATACCGAATTACCGGCAGAAGTTGCGGCCTTGCGGGTAATTCGACAGAAAGTCGGGGCTAGGATTTTCGGCATTTTTCACGCTCCGAGGGACCTGGGCCTCGGGAATTCTCCTTCTCATTTGTCGGCGGACACTTTTTGCCCTTCTTCTTTTCCTGCCGGCTTTTCTTCCAGACCTCTTCCTACCTCCTCGGAAAATACGTGACGTTCCTTCGAGAGGCTCAATCAAGATTTGCTTACACGGCGCCGAAGACCCTCTCGACTGGCGCAACAAGTTGCTCGCGACTTCGCGATTGTCTCCGGTAATTGCTCGATGCATTCTGAAGAGCCGATACCGCCGATATGCCCGGAAGATGTCGCTGATCTAGGGTCGGAAAACTCTGACAAAAGCGCCGGGAAAAGTGCAAGTTACGAGGCGTGCTGGCATGCGAAGCGCCGGAGTTCGAGAGTTTAGAGACGAGGCTTGTTGAGATTTCTTTTTTCCCCCAATTCTTATTTCCTACCCTTTTTGTTTTTTTTTTCGGTCTTCCACGGCAAACAGGAAGTGCTGAAAATGCATCGATCGATGACTCTCACCCACCGATGGAAATGCGCAAGCGCGATTTTCCTAGACCGATTCGACCCTCTCGAGAAAGTCTAAGAGACGCGGATGGAAATTCACAAAAATTGTTAAAATAATTATCAATCAATTTCGGCTGCTCTGGAAAATTCGGCGACTTGGGAACAATGCGTTTTTTGCATACAGAGATGATGCGGAAATTTAATATTGACCATTTTTTCATTATCGAAATTAATATCGTTGCTTGGACCGGATCGAGTGCGGAGTAGCTCGAGTAGGAGATTGTTTTTTTTCTTTTTTAGGCGGAAAGAAGAGAGGTAAAAATGCCAGAAAATTTAAACAATTCCAGAATCGGTGGGTGAGTAGGTGAGAGGGACAATGGAGGACCCGAGGACCGTGATAATTGGTAATTGACAATCGGATGAGTCTAAATCCGCGCCTTTCCCCAAAAGAGCGTGCACACATGTTAGTACGTGAGTAACGAGGGGATGTAAAAAACACACTTGACACGAGAAGGTGTCAGAAAGGTCCGCAAGTGTTCTCGGGCGTGATATAGATTTAGGATGTCGATATACTTTTAACATTAGGCACATCGGACAAGCTCTGCTCTCTCCAGTCCGGATTGGATGGGAACGTACGTCAACAGATAACAGCTATCGGCATACAACGTCTCTCAAAGACAGCAACGAAATCAGAAATCATACATGTATAAATGTATAGAATAAATATACGTATGTAATACAAAATGTAACACCAATCGGCAGGTCTATACGAGACTACGGGCGCTTGCGCAGCTTTACGAGAAACCATGTAAAAGTAATTTGTACATAAGGTAAAGGAAATCGGAAATAATTATGAAGAAATTCCGCGCGGCGTGTCTCGTTTGCCGGCTTTACTCGGTACGCAAGCAAGGAAGCTTAAAAAACGTGTGGCGAGGTCAGAAAACTCGTATGTACATCCGGCAAGTCAACTCATGGGAATGCCGATTTGTAAAAGCTGCATTGCGATGCTTTTTCCATATTTTCTTACTTTCCATTTTTTTTTTTAATAACAAATGTAAACGTACGTCAATGGGTGCCCCGCTCTGGGCCCCCCCTTGGTACGGACTCGTTTTTCATTTATGAATCATAAGGGAAAAATGCCTAAAAACCTTCTCGGATTATTGACTTTTATCTCACTTTTGACGACCAAGTTTGTTGGAAAAATTTCGTTAGAAAAATTATTAAAAAATTTTTTTTACTTCCAAGAGACGAGTCGGATCGACAGGGGCGGGCCTTCGAAAAGCGGGGCCCCGTGTCTTCAACTCACGGATATAGAGAGCGGAGAGGGTGTCGTCCGATATCGTACCGTTTCGCCTACCTTCTTCACCCATTGGAGAACGTAGGGCACCGCGTGCTCACCCGGGAACTCTACGTGACAATTGAATACGACACTCTCCCCCAGGATGGCCGTTATGTGCACCGCGTCCTGGTGGCAGAAACCTGGAAAAATGAAAAATGCCTCTTTTAGTGGTCTCTCGAAATATCCGAGGTACTCTACACCCTTAAAACAGGGCCACCGAGAAAAGCCGTCTCTCGTACGTTATTTATTAATCACAATTTTGACATCGGTATTTGAATAGAAATTGTTTATTAAAAGGATTGCCGTTTAAGGGGAAGTGAAAGCCCCCTCAAATCAGTCGCCAACGTAGACTTTTGAAAAATCTTCTTTACCGACGTCGATCAAGTTCCTCGACGTGTTTCGCTTACCCTTAAACGAGGAGATTTAACACGTGGGAGAAAGCACCGAGGGAATTCATTTTTTCAAATTATTCCATTATTGACATTTGCTTAAAAATTGATAAACGATAGAACATCCCAAGGAAAGCAATTCAAGCCACGAGGAAAAGCTCGTACGTTATTTATTATTCACAATTTTGACGTCGGTATTTTAATAGAAATTGTTTATTAAGAGGACTGCTGTTTAAGGGGAAGTGAAAGCCCCCTCAAATCAGTCGCCAACGTAGACATTTAGAAGAATCTTCTTTACCGACGTCGATCAAGTTCCTCGACGTTTTTCGCTTACCCTTAAACGAGGAGATTTAACACGTGGGAGAAAGCACCGAGGGTATTCATTTTTTCAAATTAGGGTATTATTGACATTTTCTTAAAAATTGATAAACGATAGAATATCCCAAGGAAAGCAATTCAAGCCACGAGGAAAAGCTCGGAGCAGCAGCCGAAAGCTCCCTAATGCCCCCACGTGATATTACGTTAGTTCGGCAAAGTTTGTTGTCCCCTCCTCCCAAGTAGGAGGTTACTCGTGTGATACCAGTTGTCGCCACATATAAGGGAACTTCCACAACCTCTTCGACCTCCGATAATCAATGTTCCACCCTTTCCGCCACCCCTTACAGGTGGAACGTCAAAGAAGCCGCCGCTCCGACGTGTAACGCCATTAACTGTTAACGGCATGTCGCGGAGTTTCGCCGGGTTTAACGAGCTTTCTTCTCCCCCTGTACCGCAAGCTTGATTCGATTTTCCGCGAATAAAAAATAAATAAAAAAAAAACCCGAAGAAACGGCTCTCGCGTGGATTTATCGATTCAATTTTTAGCTCGATTTTCCACGAGCCGAATTTATGAAATTTATTTATTTCCTTTTTTTTTTCTAGGGGCAGGATTAAGCGTAAACGCCTGATGCATTTTTAGGGGTTCTTGGGAGTTTGTATGTATTTTCTTTTTTTTTTTTTGGTTGATGTTCCTGTTTAATGGGACCTCATAACGATGACAACCGCTCGCACGGACGGACGGCCGCAAAATGTTGCTCGAAAGCTCGTTCGATATTTCGGGACGAGCTGACCGATCGAAACGATCCCCTTTCGTCGCTTTTAGGGGGTTCATTCGGGGGTTTCATCAAATTAATGTTGCGCCGGTCCGCCGTGTCATGAAACTCGGATCATCGATACCGCCAGTGCTCGGGTGATTATACCGCCGTCCGATATCGATATCGAAATCTGCCGATGTCGCGTTTTCCTGATATCGGGAGTCCCCACTTAGAACGGGTCCTCGAAATCCCCGAAAAAAAGCCGAGACGAGATCGTTGCCCCCCGAAGAGGCGCCCTAAAAAGCTCGAAATCCTCAAACCTCCTTAACCCTTTGAACATGGAGCCGTTTCGACATATGGGCGAAATTCGTCTGACCGTGCAGGCAATTTTGGACCAAACGTCGGGCGCCTTTAGACGCTCTTAGTAGCCAAAGAGTTAGAAATGACGAACGGATATCATTCCCTAACAATCCTGATTTTTCAGCATCATTCAGACCTACAGCATCGCCGTCACATTTCTTGCAGCAGAAAGTTTGAAAATGCCCATTTTCATATTTTTGCATATTTACTGGTAAATCGCAATCCTCCGAAAATTCGACACATTTTCCCTGCGAAGAATAAAAAATTCTAAACGGCTCTCAACGTTGATGCCAACTCTCATGCTTCATCAATTAATTCCACTGTGATAGAGAATGGGATGAAATAGAGGAATGTTCATTTTGAAATTTTTTGGGGAATTTTTTAGGAGCCCTTTCAAGAGTCTCTCTGTCAGGGCTCACGCCTCCTGGGGCGTTTCTCGGCGTTATTCAATTCTTCTCGATATTTCCAGTTCGAGCGGAAGGCCGGGCCGAAAATAATAGCGGGATAAATAATTTACGGGAGGAAATGCCGGAAAGTTCGCCGGCTGGCAAGTGCAAGTGGCGATCACAATGGCGCCGCGCCAGGGTGGGCGGAAAAGCGCCGCCCGGAAGAAAGGGCGGAAAAGGCAGAAAGGGGCGGCTCGACTTAGGACGAACTTCCTATATTAAACAACTTTTCCGCTAATTTCCCGACCCCCTTTCCGCCCGTTTTTCCCACGGCCGCCCCCGAAAAGCCGACCACCCCCGCCTTGGGGTTTAAGCTGTCTTCATTTTCCGAGGGCGTGGCCGGGAACCGGAAGTCCATGGATTTCCTTGCAAGAAATTTCTCTTCCCTGTAACAGGATTTTTCTTATTCGGTGTACCGAAACGAAGCTTCCCAAAGGAAAGCTTCCCACTCCCCGAGAATTTTTTAATCGCTCCAGAAAATGTTATTTTAAATCTGTGGAATTTTCTTACAGAAATAAATAGTATTTTTTTTTTCGTACAAGAGATTTCCAGCTTTTCAGACATTTTTGGACGTTTCGGGAGGTTCTTTATATTTTCGAATATTGTCGGTGTTTCATAATTTGCTAATTTTTCTTTCGATTATTTTTTTTTAATTGAAGTTTTTGGGATTTTCAGCGCTTTTTTAATCGCTCCAGAAAATGTTATTTTAAATCTGTGGAATTTTCTTTCAGAAATAAATAGTATTTTTTTTCCTACAAGAGATTTCCAGCTTTTCAGACATTTTTGGACGTTTCGGGAGGTTCCTTATATTTTCGAATATTGTCGGTGTTTCATAATTTGCTAATTTTTTTTTCTATTGGATTTTTTTTTAATTGAGGTTTTTGGAATTTTCAGCGCTTTACAGTTTGTCGGATCTTTCGGGTTACCTGGTGTGACGAGAAAGACTACTCCGAGGAGCAGAGTCCTGACGACCATCTCGAGGGCTCGGCCGTAATCCGCGCTACTCCTTCCGCAGCGTCTCCTCTCGTCGACGTCGTCGCGACGTCCGGCGTCTCCGGGGAATCCTCCGATGCGGCCCGGACTCGACGACGAGCATCTCAGGTGGCCGCAAGGATCCTCTTCTTCCAGGACTTCCGGGTCGCGAAGGCGTCCTGCTTCCCTGGCGACCGGACAGGTCGTCCCACCGGAAGCGACGCCCGGTGTCGTCCCGACGCGAGGTCTGAACAAAAAAATCCAAACGAAAAATAAAATTCAAATTTCCACCCGAAGAAGTGCCACGTAGTCGGGGTGAAAACTTAAGATAAGAAATCCGAGTTCTTTAGGCAGTCCCTCTGATAAAGGCCGCCGGTAAAAGCGACGCCGAAAAGCCGGCAAAACTCCCAATTGCACTCAATTAAATAATGCAATGCAAATGCAAATGCAAATAATGCAAAAAATAAAAAATAAAAAGGTCCCCAGAAAGCGGGATTTTTTTTCCCGAATTAAGCGGAAATTTTAATTTCACCCAGAAGACGGCATTTTGGTACCCTGAAAAGAAGCGACGAGGACTCGATAGGGTCCTCGATTAAGTCTCGATTTTTTCATCTCACCTCTCGCCCTCGTCACGTCGGACGTTCTCCGGGGCGAGTCGTCCATCTTCTTCGGGGGAGGTCCTCAGCGATCTCGATCTCGACTTCGACCTCTCGATCGAAGAGCAGACCGATTTTCGGGGCGAGAGACGTCGCCGGAGGTCCGTGGCTCGTGGCCCTCCTCCGCCCCCCATACCCCCGCTCCCATAGTATCTGCAAAAGGAAAATGGATCCACGTCTAATCGCCGATTCTTATCACTCCTCGGGTTCGATTGCCTCGTTCGAGACCGATAGAGCTTCGATCACGCGGGGATCGAACCTCGATTTATGTCGACGGTGGAATCAGATTTCGAAGCCAGGTCTTTATTTTTCCAACTTCCTTCCGGTACCAGGTACCGGGGGGATGATAAAGGGAAGAGGTCATCAAGGTGGAGGGAAAGACTTGACGAGGGCAGATTTTCATTTATTTTATTTTTAGGAAAAAAATTATTACCGGATAAAATCAACCCTGAAGAGTGATAAGTCATGAGCTGTGATAATTTGCTCCGTGATTGTTTTTTATCCGCCCCTGTTTCGCTTGAAATTTTTTTAACGCCTGGGCAGGATGATGGGAAAGGGACTCGAAATTTGGAGAAAATGCTTTTGGACTAATTTTAAGGGCGAAACTCACCCCTGCCGATCCGCCGCCACTACCGCTGTCGGGATCGTCCGCCTCCTGCTCCAACTTTCTCACCCCTCGCCAGAGTGTCGTCACGAGAGCCACCCTTAACTTTCTTTACGCTCCTGGGGCATCACCTCCTGTAAAAGACAATGAGGAATACTTCATTAATAAGTTTCATTACCGAAAATTCCAGGATTAGTCCTAACCTTAAAGTTTAAGGGGTGGTCGATGAGGGATGGAAATTCTTGAAGTATATATAAATTTTTTTTTTTTAAGAGCGAAGGGTAACAATCTTTGTTTTTGTCCCGTACATTCGATAAGTGGCAATCATCCCCTGGAAACTAATCCCGAAATCTTTGTAAGGGTAGTTCAGACCGCGGAAGTTAAAATATAAGACGGCACATTTGAAAAAGAAAATAGCAACCCCTATCTCGAGGCACCCTTAAATGGCGGGACGTCGCGTCGATTAAGTGGTCGATGAGGGTATGAAAATTCTTGAATTAAATATTAGATTTTTTTTTTGTTAAGAGCGACGGGTAACAATCTTTGTTTTTGTCCCGTACATTCGATAAGGGCAAATCATCCCCTGGAAACTAATCCCGAAATCTTGGTAAGGGTAGTTCAGACCGCGGAAGTTAAAATTTAAGACGGCACATTTGAAAAAGAAAATAGCAACCCCTATCTCGAGGCACCCTTAAATGGCGGGACGTCGCGTCGATTAAGTGGCAATTATCCCCTTGGAAACTAATCCAGGGGCGAAATCTTGGTAAGGGTAGTTCGGATCGCGGGGCACAAAGGTAACCACCCCGGAAGGTGTCGAGACAATTGACTCCGGGGTGAACGAACCCGGAGGCCTTGGGGGTAGTTGTTTGAGTTACGCCTCGGCATGTGTCCCCGGCATCGGCTTCTCGGGGGTGGCGGCGAGGTTATAGGGGATGGACCGGTGTCGGGCTAATAGAACGCGCGGAGGAGAGGGAGAACATTGTTTGAACAATGGCGCATGTCGTCGACCAATTGGCGGCCTCACAACGCAGCCCGACACCCCGTCATAACCCGCCCCCGTGTTCCTCGGTTATTAGCGACAACCCCTGCGGGATTCGCCGGACCGATTCCGCCCTTTTCACCCCCGAAGAGGTCGGTCGGATTTCGCCCCCGATCAAAGTGCCATTTAAAAGGGAGTCCCATTTTCCGACTGCCCCAATTCCCCGGGGAAAAAAATGAAATCGACGAGGGAAACTCCCTAGTTAAGGCCGTAAGAAAGCGGCAGAGGGATCAATTATGACACTTTTCTCCGGACTGGGTGTACCGAATTCATTGAAATTTTTCCAGGTGAACATAAAGACCCTTAATGAGGTCTCGGTACTCGAGAACTTTCATCCCCTTCAATCGTTCTCTTGTAAACAATTTTATATATTTTTTATATACCAGGGAATTTCGTGGAGACCGCCCACGGTGATAAGACGGTAAAACCGCGATTGTTTGTAAAAATATTAATTTATTGGAAGTCGATTCTCGATGCATGGGAATTTATGCATCGGAAGTTTCACTCTGCAAACCCCTTAAATCAACCCTCGGAGTAATTAAGACCGTCGGGAAGTTATTCTCCAGGGAGATGGCGGTGGTTTTTAATCGGTCGATTAGAGAGAAAAGGGGTGACCCAGAAATCAGGAGTCAAGTCGGCCGGAAGGGTTCGATGACGATTATTCCGATAAGGGATGCATCCCTTGCACCCTCCCCGGTGCACTCGCGGAAATCACCTGGTCCAGGGGGTGAGATTTCCCGCCGAGTGGAAAGGGGTGAAATCGGGTAAACGGGTGGAGGAGATCCCCGATCGCGCTAATCGAGGACCTCTTCTTGCCGAGTGCACCTCGTTGATAAGGCAGACCGCGCTGATAAGAGCAACCGCGACCGACGACAATTTCAGTCGAAATCCGCATCCCCCTGATTTTTCTTTCACTTTCCGTAATTTCTCCCTAAAGTGAACTGAAAATACCGCAATTAGAAAATTAATATGAAATTACGTTGGATAACGCGCGAGAATAATTAGTATCTAATTCGGAGGTTTTATACTTATAATTACTTTTTTTACCGATTATTAGAAATTATTAATTATTAATTCTCATTCTCTCCGGTTATTCAAGGATATTTGAAATTTCGCGGGTCTAAGGGCGGATTCTGGGGCACTTGGCGTCCGCAGAAGAGGTGTCCCGAGGGTGACCCCCTAGGGGCTCTTATCAGCCCTAAAGTCGGCCAATCAGCGATTCGGCCCACCCCTCGGTCCCGAACTTGACACGGCATTCATCTCTCCACTGGAGAGTCGGTGGAGGGTCATAAGGGCGAGAGAACCCCCGAGTGGCTGGATGCTCCTTCGCATTTATTTCCATATTCATTTCCACCCCCTCGACCGCCACTGGCCAGGGGGGGGGGGTGCGACCTCGAATTAATTGGCAGGGTGGTGCCACGATATGTCACATCCGCAGCCTTGACAACCCTCTGTTACAAAATCTTAAAAAAAAAAAAAGAAAAATGAACGTCACAAAATTTACACCCCCAAATTAATAGCACCCGGTGGTTTTTTATTACCACCCCTCGAGCCGTTTTTCGATACCCTCCGTAATCGATATATCGGGGGTGATTATCGGAGTGCACGCACGTGCGTGATCTGGAAGCGCGGCCAATTTCACGCGGCACCCTCCGGGGGGTGATAAGCGAAATGCGCGATAATTCCGGGATGATAACTCTTGATAACTCGCCGAACTACGAGGCGGATCTGCAGTTGCAGGTGCACCCATTGCCCCTGCTCTATTATTCTGGAAGGGTTGCCAATTTTGGGGTTGATCCTCGAATTATTCATCCTTCTCACCCCTAATTAGAAGTGCCTCTTATCGCGGAATAAATGTTGGTCCTTATCAATACTTCTAATCATCAAGAATCAGGAAATATATGTCAAGTAAATAAATCCCGAATTAATGCACCCTTGAGAAGTCGAAAACGATAAGGGTAATTTCAAGGGATAATCGTTAAAATCATACAAAAATTAAATTTAATTTATAACATATCGAAGGATAAATATTAAAATTGTTCGTCCCACTTTTCTAGAATTCATTTTTTTATTTGAGACTGGGACGGGAATTTTTTTATAAGTGTTTTTCTTTTTTAGGGTGACATCCGTTTCGCTACTGACCTCGCCCACTGATTGTCAATGAATAATTCATTGCAGTTGCAGGAGTAATCATCGGCCGGCCTTCCTCGGGATATTGCCGTCTTTTTGGGACGTATCCCTGATGTGTACTCTTCCCTGGATTGAAAAAGGGACGTTCGACTTTCGCCTGAATGCCGACTAGGCGGTGTTGACAATTATTTCGGGTGAAGGACACGCTTTAAGCGCCATCCATTTAGGGGTTGAAAAGGATATAGAGGGAGGCTCCAGTCCTGCCGGGAAAGTATTACCGCGCCATTGTTCCTTGCTTAAGAGCTTGTCAACGATTCCGTCCCACCCTCTTTCGTCGTGATTTCCTGTCGAACGCCGCACGACATGGAAAAACGGCTCGAACAAAAGTTATCGCAAAAACTAAGGACAATAACTTTTGTATAAACACTTTTTTTTATAAAACGCTTCGTTTGAGTAATAAGCCTAAATTTTGGCACCATCGCATGATCCTTGAGTACGCTTGAAGCCCTCCGAGAAAATTCCATTTTCCGATCCTGTTTCGAGTTTCAGAGAAAAATGTTTCCTGTAAAAGTTGTTCTGGAAGAGACTCGTGACAACTTTTGTGGGAGACATTTTCTGATGAGTTGTACAGAGAAGGGTGCAGAGCGATTTAGAGCCCGGGATGGAGAATTCGAGGATGAGG